ACATTAAGTCTGTGAGTTGCACTGTTAACTGTGTCATGTCGGGGACGAATCGACGCACGTAATTTACGAATCCCAAAAAACTCTGCAACTCCGTGATATTCGTCGGGGGGTGCCACACTTTTTCCGTGTCCAGCTTCTTTGGGTCAATTTCAACCCTAGCCTCTGAAATAACGTGTCCTAAAATCTCTAGCCTGACATGAAAAAACTCGCACTTTGAACCCTTGGTGGGTAGCCGGTACTCGTCAAAGACTTTAAATACTGCTTCCGGATCTGCTAAGTGGTGTTGCCTATCGCGACTGTAGACGAGGATGTCGTCGAGGTAAACTATCACGCATTTATCTAAAAGTGGCCGAAACGCCTCGTTCATGTTCATCTGAAATGTCGCCGGTGCGTTGGTCAGCCCGAATGGCATCGCGGTGTACTTGAATGACCCGTACCTAGTCCTAAAAGCCGTCTTGGCGCAGTCTGATGGTTTGACTCAAATCTGATGGTAACCTCCCCGTAAATCTATTTTCGAAAAGACCCGTGCTGTTCGCAGTTGGTCTATCAGTTCGTCGGCGCGGGGAATGGGGTATCGCGACTTGACTGTTACCCTGTTCAGTGCTCTGTAATCGATGCACATGCAAAACCCTCTGTTTTTTTTCGGTGTGAACAATATCGGTGCGGCGAAAGGTGACGAACTTGGTCGGATGAATTTCTTCTCTAACAGGTAATCTAACTGCTTCCTCAGTTCGTCGAGCTCGGGTTGTGTCAGTCTGAACTGTCGCTGTACTGTTGGATGTGCCCCCGGTTCTAACTATATTCAGTGGTCGTGTGCCCGCTGAGGTGGCAGTCCCTCCAGTAAGTTATCGGGAAAAATCCCCGCATACCGTTTCAACAGTTCATATAGTTCGGGCGATACCGCTGCCAGCAGTTTCTGAAAATCGCTCGGCTGCTCTGCTTCTCCTAATGCTGCGATGTCCACTGCGTACACGTCAGCTCCAGCGGCGACGGCCGTTTCATTGTGATGGCATTGACATGGACCGTCGAAGACTCAGGCGACTGCCTGCGAGGTAGCTCAACCCAGTTACCGCTACTTCGCACAGTGCAGCTACCCGTCGTCCAGTCAATTCGCGGATTATACCGTCGCAGCCAATCATGTCCCAGTAAAATGTCATGCCCATCCAATGTCGTCGCGAGCATTTCCTGTGTTAACCCGAAATTCCCCCCGCAACGGACTTTGACTCTCTCCACCTTCTCTCGTATGGCAAGCGGTGTGCCGTCAACTAAGCGTGCATCTGCCTTCGGTAAACACCGGCTAAGTGTTAGTTGCAGTTTCCGTGCGGTCGCAGTATTAGCTAAACCGTGACTTGCTCCTCCGTCAATAAAAATCTTCACTGCTGCTCCCTGTATTTTCCCGTGGATCAGTACTGGGCAATCCGTCGTTGTACCCTCCTTATTCGTCCGAGCCCGATCGATGGCATGAATCGGTACTGTGATTCGGTGAGTGTCGGTGGGGTTGGGCGAGCAGGCAGTCTCGTTAGTATTTGGCCTGATTCCTACTGACTGCTGGCGTTTCCCTGCCTTGGAGACTCCCTCCCCTGCTCTGTTCCGCGGCGCCTCAGCTCCTCTGGGCACTCACTCTTGCGATGGCCTGGCCTATTGCAAGCAAAGCAGCGCCCCTTAAACGGCGCGGCAGCTGCATTTGTCGCAATGGCATGTACGGTGGCGTGCTCGATCGGTCCCCGAGGGCGATGTCTGTAGTAGGACCCCGGTCTCGGACGGCGCAGAATGTCGATTTTCTCGGCGAGCGCGAGGATCTCGTTGAAATTCGAGAGTCCGCGTAGCATGATTTCGTGCGAGATGTCTGGCTTCAGCCCTCCGACGTAACGGTCCACCCGCTCCGCTTCGTGCATGTAGCCAACTTGCTCACATAATGCGAGAAAATCGCTCGTGTAGTCTTGAACCGATCCGAGCTGCCGCCAAGTACGCAGTCTCTGACGCGCCGAAATAGAAGCCGCGATCGGCTCGAAGCGCGCCCGAAGCCCTGCGCACCACGCGTCCCACGTGCTGTACTGGGCGGTTTCGCAGAATAACTCCAGGTGACGGCTGGGCCCGTGGGCCCTTCCTCTTGCAACGGTGGCTCGTAGACGCGTGGCGACGTCACGATGACTCGCCACCAGTCCATGGCGGGGCCCCTCAGCAGCGAGACAGCGTATCGGATCTTTGTTGCGTCTGACTCGACGTAGTTCGCGTCGAAAAGGACGTTCATCGTGAAGACCTTCGATTGAACCGTCAGACCTCCATGCTGGCTCGGGTCGAAGCAGGGCGGGCGCTGCGGCTTGAGTGGCATTGGTGCCATGATGGCGTGGTCGCCACTTGTCGCCGCAAACTCCACGTGCCGACGGGCTTCGCGAGGCTCCCGCGGGCTTGGCGCGGCCCTGTTCCTCTCCATGCCGGGCATCGATTGAGCGGCGCCATCACTGGCTGCGCCTGAGCGGTGTCCCACGCTGTCGTTTTGTGTCGGTGTGCCTGATGAAATGATGATCGGCTCCTCCGATTGTGCGGGTGCATTTGCAGGTGAGTGTGGTGGTGCTGGAGCATTCACTGTGGATTGCTGACGAGCGGAGTCGCATTCCGCCGTGAGTGTCGCAATTTCGAGCGCCGAGACTTCAATTTGGCACACGAGACGGTCGAGTTGCTCCTGCGTCAGTGTCGCGAGAGTGAATTCGGCCATGGCGGGGGTGTCGGGCAAGCCCAGCGAGAGCCTCTGTCGTGGCCGTGCGTGCTTACGAGAGAGCACTACGAGCGACGGTGCTTGTTTCGCTGAGAGACGCCCCCCCCCCCAAATTGAGATAGTGGGGAAACGAAGGTGTGGGTGTGGTCCGAGAAGAGATCGTAAGCTTTGAATACCAAGCGTTACGAGTGCAATTGAGTGAACGAACGAGAATTGCACTATCGAAGCAAGAAAACAATGAGCGAAGGCATGAGCGAAGAATATATAGCGAAACTACAGTGGTAACGGTAATGCGTGAAAATAGGGTGCGCGACGGGCCTGGCGCCGTGGCTGCGAAATGACGAGGCGGAGGTCCGGAGCGCGGGTTACCAACCGAACCGTGAGGTTGGGTCGCGTCGTGAACAGTGGCGGGAACAGTGTCAAGGCGAATGTTGCGAGTGGTAACGGATTACTGTTGGGTGTTGTTGGCGGGAACAGTGGTGTACGCGCTGAGCAGGGACGCGAAGTAAGGAAAAGGAATTTTCCTTACAGAGGTCTAATTCTTCGGAGTTATCTGGCAAGGCTTCGCTAAAGATGAACTTGTTTAGATAATGAGGAGAAATATTGAGTCTGGGAGTAAATTAAGCTATACCGTTTCTTAAATCTCCATGAAAGAACACGTCATAAATATGCAGTCACCTAGAAACCGGATTAGATATATAGTTATGATAATTTACTGTCAGAAGGGTCACATAGATTCTTTAACAGTATGTTTTATTGCAGAAAACACCATCTTCGGATTATGTTGCGATTTGGCCAGTTTCGTATTATAACAGAAGTTGAATGGCACCGCAATGTGCGCAGCTCCAATAATTGTCCCCGGAGACGCGACGCGATGCGATTTGGAATGGATGTCGTGATGGGAGCTATTTGGCTGCGAACCCTGGCAGTTGCTTTGCGAAAGTATATTTCCCTTCTGCGACACGAAGAAACGTAACGACCTGCCTACGAGTCGTATCCAACGAAACACAGCAAGCGAAATTTCTTCCAATGTTGAGCTAAACGGTGTTGCCAGTCGCTCTCTCCTCTACTCCTCTCCTCCCGCGCAATTCATGGTTGACAATTATCAGAGCAGGCGAGTGTAGGGTCTGCCGAAACTAACCGTCAGTTCTTAGCATAATCTCGACAACCATGACAGCCCCGCAATTGTGCGACACGGCTGGTTCTCAGTGTAGTTTCGACTCCAGACCTTCCGCGCTTCTCGCCGGTACTAGAGCTGCAGTCCTCGCAACATTATGTCGCACCAGCCAGCTTCAACCAACATTATTTCGTCGCAAGCTGATGCTTCTCGAATCGCGTCACTAATTGCAGCGCGAACCCTCACTCTCGCGCATTACCAGTATTGCGTAGTCCCGTTCCACGTTATTTCTTCGGATTTCCGCTCGAAAATACCCCACGAAGAGACGCCAAGCGCACATCACGGTGATCTCCCAGCACGGGACATGGCACATGACGATTATATCGCCACACTTGTCAGCCGCACCGCACCAGTTATCATGCGGTGCGCTTCGGTGTTGGAGCGGAGCGCGTTCGTTACTGTGGTGCATCCGTGGTATCGGGTATGGGGGGCAAGAGGAGGGGAAGCAGCGTTGGGAACAAAGGGGTTGGGGGGTAGGAGGGAAGGTCGGAAAAGTCCGACCAATGAGCCCATCGCGACGAGCCTAGGCAAGCGCATCACCCATCATTGCGCCAGCTCCGCAGGGTTTGCGCCTGGACCTGTCCGAGGGACTCTAGATTCGACTCAAAAGACCTTGCGCCGAACCCATTGTCGCAGCTCCGCCGCAGGGATTGCGCCCGGGGGGCATTGGCGCGCGCGCCATTGGCGCAACTCCGCGGCGGGAGATTTGCGCCTGAAGCCGTCCGGAAGGAACGGGAGTAGTTGCGCGTGAGTTGCGCTGGCGATGATTTTTGGTCATAGAGAACCCAGGGCATGGCAGGAGCATAAATACGAGGTTGCATTCGAGCTCGAGCATCGCAGTTTCAGAAGCAGGTTTAGTAACTTTCGATTCGCCCGTCCGTGCGTCCTTTTAACGAGAATTTCGTCGGTATAGTATCTTTCCAAGTGGCACTTTTCCGCCCCCGATCTCGCAGCGTCCGGAGTACATTTGAGTCGCCCCAGGAGCAATCCACGCTGCCGGAGTAGCAGGAGCGATTCCCGGGCAACAGCATCAGCCACAGCTTGAGTCCATATTGCCGGAGTCCATATTCGAGGCGTCTAATAACGAGGATACTTGCAGCATCAGCCATGGCGCGCCGCAGCCCCCGCGCACCGTGCCTCGTCCTCCTCGTGTTCTTCGTCATGCTCGTCGTCAACCCCGCGCGCGCCGCCTTCCCTTCTCTTCCGCGGCGGGCGCTGATGTTTGCCGACACGCCGAGTCGCCACGGGTTGCGGGGTGTGCCGGCGGCGGCTTCCGCCGACGTTTCGCCTCCGCGGAGGGCGTTGATTTCCGCCGCGAACGTCGACGGCGTCCCGGAGACGCTGTCCCCGCGCGTGCTTGAAGAGGCGAGCGCGGATGGCGGAGACGAGATGGCGGAAGGCGGAGAGGCAGAGAATCTTGACGAGGGGAGGGTGCTTGCGTCAGAAGAGTCGGGGGAGGCGGAGGAGGGCGCGTGGGAGCGCGCAAGTGCTGTTGCGGAAGAGGCGGAAGACGGTGTGGCGGAAGGGGAGGGGGAAGCGGAGGTCGGAGAGCAGTTTGAAGAGGGCCGGCTTTTGGCGGAGGAAGAAGGAGAGGTGGGGGATGCGGAGGCGGTAGAGGGGGAGATGGGGGATGCGGGGGAGGGGATTGAGGAGGGGAGGGTGTTGGCGGAGGAAGTGGAGGGAGAGAATGAGGATGAGGATGAGGGGGAGGTGGAGATGCAGGGAGAGGGGATTGAGGAGGGAAGGGTGCTTCAGGAGCAAGGAGAGTCCGAGGGGGTTGGTAATCTAGAGGCAGAGGAGGAGGAAGAGAATGAGGAGGGGGAGGAGGTTGATGCGGGCAGGGTGCTGATGGGGGACGACGGCGAGTCTGAGGAGGTTGGTGCTTTGGCGGGAGAGGAGGAAGAGGAGGAGGGGGAGATGCAGGAGGGGAGGGCACTGGCGGACGAGGAGGGTGAATGGGACGAGGATGGTGAGGAGGAAGAGGAGGAGGAGATGCCAGAGGGTGAGGAGATCGAGGTGGGCAGGACGCTGCAGCAGGAAGAGGATTCCGATGAGGCTGGTGTTTTGGAGGCCGAGGAGGAGGCAGAGGAGGAGGGAGGAGATATGCAGGAGGGAGAGGAGATCGAGGTGGGTAGGGCGCTGCAGGAGCAAGGAGAGTCCGAGGAGGAAGAGGAGGAGGTACAGGAGGAGCAAGAAGATTTCAGCGATGAGGAAGAGGAGGAGGAGGGGGAGATGCAGGAGAGGCGTGCTTTGGCCGAGATTGACGATTCTGAGGATTTGGATGGGGAGGAGGATGCGGAAGAGGGAGAGGAGGAGGGAGAGATGGAGGGGCGGGCTTTGGCAGAGCTTGACGATTCTGAGGGTGTGAATGAGAATGAGGAGGAGGAGGAGGATGAGGATGAGGACGAGGAGGGCAGGGCTTTGGCCGAGATCGACGATTCTGAGGATTTCGATGGGGAGGAGGATGAGGAAGAGGGAGAGGAGGAGGGGGGGATGCTGGAGGGACGGGCTTTGGCAGAGGTCGACGATTCTGAGGATTTGAATGGGGAGGAGGAAGAGGCAGAGATGCAGGATGAGGGGCGGGCTTTGGCCGAGATCGACGATTCTGAGGGCGAGGGCGAGGAGGAGGAGGAGGAGGAAGAGGGAGAGGAGGGGGAGATGCAGGAGGGACGGGCTTTGGCAGAGGTCGACGATTCTGAGGGCGAGGATGAGGAGGAGGTGGAAGAGGAGGAGGCAGAGATGCAGGATGAGGAGGAGGGAGAGATGGAGGAGGGGCGTGCTTTGGCCGAGCTTGAAGATTCTGAGGGTGTGAATGAGGATGAGGAGGAGGAAGAGGAGGCAGAGATGCAGGATGAGGAGGATGGTAGGGTGCTTCTGGCAGAAGAGGAGGAGGAGGGAGAGAGTGAGGAGGAAGAGGAGGAGGAGGCCGATATGCAGGAGGGGATGGAGGAGGATGGTAGGGTGCTGATGGCAGGAGAGGAGGATGAGGAGGGCGATGAGGGAGAGAGTGTTGGGAGTGAGGAGGAAGAGCAGTGGGGTGAGGAGGAGGGGATGGTGGATGTGGCTTAGACAGCAAGAGGGCGTCCGAGTGATGCAACAGTTTCAGGTGAGGGAGAGCAGTGGGAATAGCAGTGGGAAGAGCAGTGGGGTGAGGAGGAGGGGATGGTGGATGTGGCTTAAACAGCATCAGGGCGTCCGAGTTTCAGGTGAGTTTTGAGTCGACTCAAAATATGTCGTGTGCCATGGTAACGAGGTGACTTTTGAGTCGACTCAAAAGAGTGAGGTGGAAGAGCAGTGGGCTGAGGAGGAGGGGATAGTGGATGTGGCTTAGACAGGAACAGGGCGTCCGAGTTTCAGGTGAGTTGTAAGCCAATGCATAGGTGATGCGCGGATTTCCAGTTGCCAGACAATGCAACACAACTGACGCACGAGTTTCAGGTTGAGTTGTAAGCCAATGCAAGAGTGATGCAAGAGTGATGCAAGAGTGATGCAAGAGTGATGCAAGAGTGATGCAAGAACGATGCAAGAGTGATGCAAGAGTGATGCAAGAGTGATGCAAGAGTGATGCAAGAACGATGCAAGAGTGATGCAAGAGTGATGCAAGTGCGTTCCCATGCTTCCAGCAGAGTTGGTGAGCACAACTGACGCACGAGTGAGTTTCCGCATCTCCTTTTCCCGTGCTCTTTGCAGGGCTTTCCACTGTTTTGAGACGTCTCAAAACACGCATCTCCTTTTTCCATGCTCTTTGCAGGGCTTTCTACTGTTTTGAGACGTCTCAAAACACGCATCTCCTTTTCCCATGCTTTTGTAGGGTTTCCACTTGATCAACGGGGGCCATGCTTCGGGAAAGTGGTCTGTGGTAGACGGCAGAAGGCTGACAAGTGGACAGGCATGGATTGACAGGGTGGAACAGTGGCCAGGGGTTGGGAGGGACGACAACCCACAATAAGCTAGAAGAAGGTTGAATATGAGCTGCTTTCGAGCAGTTTGTTTTGGTCATCTGCTCCTTTCGCTTGCATGGTGTGACCTTGATAATCAGCGCAGCATGTGTGGCGTGTCTGATGTGGTGGTTCTAGTGGCTGGTTTGCTGTACTCTCCTTTTATTGCTATCATTACCCTCAGATACCATGTGTATTTCACTGTAGCGGGAGGGCACAGCTGCTCCGACCTTCAACCTAACGCAGAACAGAGTGTGAACTAGGAGTATGACACTTGAAGAGTTTACTTCTGAGTCGACTCGAAAGTCAACTTAGCGGGAGGACATGGCTGCTACGACCGTCAACCTAATGCAGAACAGAGTGTGAACTAGGATATAACACTTAAAGAGAAACGAACCAGTATGGTAGCACTGCAACCGATACCAAGGTTCTTCCCTCCCCTAAGTTTCTCAGCAGGGCAGGGACTCCCCACTGGTGTAAAAATAAGGGATTTTTTCTTTGCAAGCCTGTATCTCGACCTCAAGTTGGCTGTGATCTTTCTGCTACTGTAACTGCAGCCTGTACCGTAGATGATGACAGAACTACCACAACTATCCTGATGCTGCTTTTTCTTGCTGGAATACCGTATGTTTACCCCCCCATAAGAGTTTCTTCTGTGCTCCTCCAACATTCCTTTCCTCATCAGCAAGGAACCTCGGGAGCTCACCTCACGTTCCCCTGGATCCCTCACGTTCCCCTGACAACCTCACGCTTTCTTGACGGCCTCACGTTTTCTTGACACCCCTCACGTTCCCCTGACGACCTCACGTTCCCCTGACGATCTCGCCCCTGGGTACATCAGAAGATAACCAGTGCAGTTCACCTCACTTCTGTAAGCAGAGTTTATACTTTCCACCCATAAAACTCACGTCTTCACCTTTCAACGCATAAAAGCAGAGTTTAGTTTTTCACTGCACCCTCCAACGTAGTATCAGCTTTCATATCAGCAGACATTGTACCATAGCATTTGATTAGCACAAAGATATTATTTGCCAACTAGTGTCAAATCTCCATACTTCAGCAGCTTGCCTCCTCTATCAGCTGCCCGGGGGCAGGAAAAAAACCTCGGGCAGTTAGAATTGCCGAGACAACTGTAGTGAGTGCCATAGGCACCAGCAAAAAGAAAGTAACAGTTAACTGAAGGTTAACTGCTTCTTGTGGCGGCATCCCCCCCATAAGCATCCCCACCATAGCGCCAGGAAGCTGAATCACGCCGTAAGTCTTTATGTAGTCTAGTGTCGGCCCGAAACCCACTGCTACGGCCTTCCGAATGAGGGGAAGGGAGGCCTGCCATTGGCTTGCACCTAAAGCCAGTGCTGCTTCCACCTGGAAACAAAGGTGGGAGAACGGGGAAGGAAGCAACAACTGAGTGTTGAATGTTACACAGTAAAGGTTCAAACCAAAGGCCACTGCTACGGCCTTTCGAATGAGGGGGAGGGAGGCCTGCCATTGGCTTGCACCTAAAGCCAGTGCTGCTTCCACCTGGAAACAAAGGTGGGAGAACGGGGAAGGAAGCAACAACTGAGTGTTGAATGTTACACAGTAAAGGTTCAAACCAAAGGCCACTGCTACGGCCTTTCGAATGAGGGGGAGGGAGGCCTGCCATTGGCTTGCACCTAAAGCCAGTGCTGCTTCCACCTGGAAACGAAGGTGGGAGAGCGGAAAAGGAAGCAACAACTGAGTGTTGAATGTTACACAGTAAAGGTTCAAACCAAAGGCCACTGCTACGGCCTTTCGAATGAGGGGAAGGGAGGCCTGCCATTGGCTAGCACCTAAAGCTAGTGCTGCTTCGACCTGGATTGGAAGTGAGGGGATGCAAAATGGGAAGAAGTGGGAAGAAGTGGGAAGAAGTGGGAAGGAGTGGAAAGGAGTGGAAAGAGGAGAGGTGGGGCGAAAGCCCACTGCTACAGCCTTTCTGGCTTGCGCCTAGAGTCAGCGCTGCCTCTACCTGGATTGGAGGTGGGGGGGAGTGAAGTGGAAAGAGGAGAGGTGGGGCGAAAGCCCACTGCTGCTACAGCCTTTCGGATGAGGGGAGAGAAGCCTGAACCTGCGTTGCGTGTAGAGCTACTGCCGCTTCTACCTGGAAACAAAAGGTGGGAAAGAAAGCTCTAGGCGCAACGCGAAGGGGAAAGAAAGCAACAATCGCGAGTGGAATGCCACATGGCCACATAGTTTAGCAACAATGCTACAGCACTTCCTGCTACAAATCCCTGTGCTACAAGCGAAGGACTCACCTGCCCTCTCCTCTGCCGAAAGTCGTCAGCGAGTCGCTGCATGGTGTTGGCGAGTCTCTTGAAAAGAGTCAAACCTACCTTTTCTATCCTCTTCCCTTTAACACCCCACCTGCCCCCTCCTCTGCTGAAAGTCATCAGCGAGTCGCTGCATGGTGTTGGCAGCAATGGTCATGCTGCTGCCCACCACAATGCGACAGCTACTCATGCTTATTCTGCTACAGCCCTCCTATGGATTAAGACCTCACCTGCCCTCTCCTCTGCTGGAAGTCGTCTGCCAGTCGCTGTATGGTGGCGGCAGCTATGGTCATGCTGCCGCCTTCCTGCTACAGCCCTTCCTGCTACAGCCCTTCCTGCTACAGCCCTTCCTGCTACATCCCTTCCATTCCAACTACGATTCCCCGTGCTACAAGATAGGAACCCACCTCTCCCCTCCTCTGTTGAAAGTCGTCTGCGAGTCGCTGCATGGTGTTGGCTGCAATGGTCATGCTGCTGCCCACCACAAGCCCTGAAATGGGAATCACAAACCCTGGTCGCAGCCGAACCACCTGCGATGGGAGTGGTGCGGTGCAGTGCGGTGATGGGGATAAATATGGAAAGAATGATGGGTGTGGTATGGTGCAGTGCGGTGATGGGGGGAGTGAGGTGGACCGAAAGGGGTTAGGCTGCTGCCACCCACCACCAGGCCCGCAATGGAAATCACAAACCCTGGCCACAGGGGAACCACCTGCGATGGGTGTGGTGCGGTGCAGTGCGGTGATGGGGGGAATAAAGTGGATAAAAGAGGGGGGTTACATTGCTGCCACCCACCACAAGACCCGCAATGGGAATCACAAACCCTGGCCGCAGGGGAACCACCTGAAGGAGAATGATAGGTGCAATGGGGTGAAGTGCGGTGCGGTGCGTTAAAGCATGGTCATGCTGCCACCCACCAGAAGGCGTGCATTGGGAATCACAAACCCTGGTCGCAGGGAAACCACCTGGGGGAGAAGTGGGAAGAAAGGTGATGGGTGCAGTGGGGTGAGGTCAGGTATGGTGTGGTGCGGTGCAGTGCAGTGCGACGGGCCGTGGTCATGCTGCTGCCCTCCACAATGCCCCCAATGGGAATCACAAACCACGGCCCTCCATAGTGCCCCCACCTGAGGACCAGGGGGGTAAACATGCAAGGATGATTAGCGCGGTGGGGTGGAGTGTAGTGCGGTGAGGGAGGGAGGTGGATGGGTACCACGAGGTGCGGCTCACAACTAACCACCCCCCCTGAAATCCAGAATTCCCCAAGCCTTTCCATATTTCGACGGCATGCATATGCCTGCAAGGTCGCGAGCAGCGAGAAGGCAAAGTGGCGGAGGCTCCTATTGCCCAGAGTGCCACCCCCTTACCTCGCAATCTATGGCACACATACCTGCAAGGCTGCAAGGAGAGAGAAAAGGCGAGTGTGACAGCGGCTCCTATTGCGCAGAGCGCCACCCAGAACCCCCCAGCCACCCAGAATCCCTCAAAAGGCGCCCACCCCTCTGTGCCATACCTGCAGGCCCGCAAGCAGAGAGAATGCGAGTGTGACGGCGGCTCCTATTGCCCAGAGCGCCACCCAGAACCCCCCCGCCACGCGCTTGGCTCTCTTAGACGCTGTGTGTGCTGCTGCCAGCACCTGTGGGATCCACATGGGTTACAGCGCGTTACAATCGGTTCAAATATGCTCAGTGGGTGTGGAAAGACTGACGAAAAATGCGAGTGTGACGGCGCCTTGTATTGCCCAAAGAGCCTTCCAAAATCCCCGAGCCATGCGCTTGACTCTCTTAAACGCAGTGTGTGCTGCTGCCAGCACCTGCGAGTTAGAGAGGTTGAGATGGGTTGAGTTGGGTTCAGAGGAGAAGGAAAGATGCAAGGCGCCTCAACAGCCAATTGACCGACCACCTGACAACCAATCTACTCCAGGGCGGGGAGAGCAGGGCGGAGAGAAGGCAGGCAGGGAGAGCATGGCGGGTGAAGGGAGTGGAAGGTGTAAATCAATACACTCACCGCAAGTGCCTTTTGAGTCGACTCAAGAGGGAGTGGAAGGCGTAAATCAATACTCTCACCACGAGTGTCCGAGACACTCACCACAAGCACCCCACACACTCACA